AAGCAGTCTTCAAGCTTCATGGCAGCCACTTTACCAGCTGCGTTGTCTCTCCAGCCAGAGGTGGGTTATTTTTTCTAACAGCTCAACACAATAAAAAAAATCTTTGGGTTAATCTCTCAAATGTCTAGCAGTGATAGAATGGCTAAATAAATCATGATTTAGTCCTACAATGCATGAGTGATTTCAAATAACGCAAAAGCAAGAAAGATTCTTATTAACTATGACTCCTTCATCCCAGCAAATACATTTAACACCTATCCATTTCTGAGAAGTATAAAAGAAGGGATACTAATGTATATATACAATTATAAGGTGAGGGGGTGGTTGTCTGGAGTTTGAGAGAGCATTGGTGACTTTAGGGGCTGCCACGCAGGGGCTGTGACATGAAATTGCTGTCTGAGTGCTGTTGACATAAATATATTCAGTTTGAGACGATTCACCAAACCTAACACACTCACTCACCTTCATGCATCTTTCTATCTTAAAATTAAACATTGACTTCCCTTATTTTAGCAAATAATCTGATACATAAAAACCTAATTAACCATTCTGAAAATTGGAATATAATCTGCTGAACTGCCATAGAAAAAGTAACTTAGACTTCTGATTTTATCTAGATCTGCAGTTCTCTGAGCATCACTTGGAGGATACTGGACTGGACTGCAAACAGAGGTGGGATACAGACACCAGAAGCAGGTAGTGAGTTTCCCCGCTAACTTCAGGCGTATGTTTGCAATTCCTTTCCAAATAAATTTCCAATCCCGGCCTATATTGCATTAGCTTTGACTTGAAAAGTACAGTCTACGTCTGTCCCGTGTCCAGTGTAAAATTGATCCTGGTGCATAAAACAGAACCATGTGAAGAACATATAGATACGGAAGTCGGAAAACACTCTGAAATGGAATCCCTACCCTGACTTGTGTGCTGTCTCTTTCATTCGCATTCATCCGTCATACCATGTAACCATCCAATGGGTTGGAAGTTGCTACATTTGGGTTTTTGTTAGTGGTGAACCGCATCATTTGCACAGGGGTTCCGGAGCTCACATGAAGGCGGGCAGCGCTTTTGTACCACAATGAACTGGATCTTACTTAGGTAAATCACTGCTGCGGAATGAGTCAGTTGAAGCTGGATGACCCCTTAAAGATTCATGAATCAACACAAATCATCAGACATAAGTTGGACACAATTAGATATAAAACAGTACAAATATCCCATCAACATGGCTTCTTCTCATACTGGGATAGTTGATGGGGACAAGAGGGAGTGGTCAAAGGAAGCCCTCATGATTGGTTAGACTCTGGCAAATGTCCTAGAATGCAAGTGATTTCAAGTTTGCAGTGGGATGGTGGTGTAAGCCTTGTAAGTTATGGCTGGATTTTTTTTTTTGTCTCCATTGTTGGTCATTGCACCGGGTTACCCAACCCCCTTGAAACACAGGAGTTATAAAAAGAGAAAGGAAAATGACTCTCTAGAGCAGCCTCTGTCATTCAAAGCTAAGGAAGTAAATCTTAACCCGAAACCCAGGAGCCCTGTAATCAGAGAGTGGCCTGGTCAGCTTGTAACTGGGATTATAGTATCAGGTCAGACCACAGTCCTATCCCCTAGAGGAGCGCTTTATGAGGGGCTGGCAAGATTCAGGCTAAAGAAACGCTCTCAGGCTGAGTAGATGCAGCGGCCAGCCATACCGAGGGCCTGCTCCCAGAAGTGTAAATTGTGCTCTGTTTCTACCCTTCAGAGCCGGTGTAAGGAAGGTAGCAGGCTTTCAGAGGGACATCCTTCTGGACCTATAATTCAAGCACAGCATTAAAAACGTCCAGGCCTGGGACAAGAGAAAAGCCATGATGTCAACTGGTTCAATTTTTTTCCTGCCTGAAAACTTTTCATAACTGGCTTGTCACCAGTTCAGGGAGGTCTGGAAAACAGCCAAACAGCAAACAAATCTAGACTTCCTAGATCCCATGCCTGGAACTCAGAGATGTTCACAAGAAGACAGGCTGCATTTATACCACTGGCTATAGTCTCTTCCCCACACAAAGGCAAGTTTAAATTTCCCTGATCAGCCCATTTATTGCAGAAAAGAAAAGGCTCAGGTGAGTATTTTTGGGTGTGCCAGCACATTCATGGGGTTTAACTCCCCAGAACTAGCAACTGTCGCCAGGAGAATCACGGATGAGCTTCTCAGAAGGAATCCTGCCTGGCCTGGGACCTAGGCAGCCTTTCTCAATGCTGAGGGGAAAGCACCCTAGTAGCTTTAAGGGTCTGACTCGCTGCTGCTTATTAAAATGAGATCATCACCTTAGGACCTTCTGGTATCTGGTTACACAAGGCTACCAGGTGAGTGAGGGCTGATGTACCACATCCAAGTTGTAAAGGTCCACTAGAAGGATTTTTTTTGGGGGGAGAGGGTGTGCTTAGTAGCTTACACTTGGGTAACGTAAGCTATTAACTGATTTTATCTTTTAAAATAAAACATTTAGATGATATAAATTTGATAGAATTTATTTGTGCAAGCGGCCACTTCCGAATCTGAATCAAGCAATGCTCAGACACAGAGGGGATGTGCAGAACGCTCCCCAGCATGGGTGACCAGCATTTATGGGCTGAGTGCAAGAGCCAAAATATGTTTGACGGGCAAACGTGAGGACTTGTAGGTAGCTGTCAGCTGGTGTTTTCCAAAACTGGTTGCATCCCTGGTTTCGTCGCACCCACTATTTATGTTTCGCTTGCGGAAGATCTGGAGTCATCCTGACCTAAGAGCCTCCTTTTCATTCCAGTTTTTCTTAACATGCTCCTCATGATACACACCTGTGTGCAAGCAATGATCGCAGCGCTTGATCTGAGAATACATTTTGCTTTCAATAGATATTACTGCCGAGGCTCTCACTCCCCCCCCTCCCAGGGCAGGTTATTTGCATTCAGTAACATATTTAAACCAATGCAAGTGTTTAAAGTGCTGCGTGGCAATTCCAGCTTCACGTTGGTACACTCCTTATTCATTCTTTCAAGGATAGCTAATCTCATTAAATGAACACGTTTTGTGAATGATTGCTATATCTGATTCTTATAATTCCATTTGGGCTCCTCAGAGGATAGCTAAACTGTACTGCACTGCCAGAGAGGCCTGCGCCACACAGATGCAGATGGAGGTGCGCTCTCACCCGCGGGGCAGTCTTCCTTTACTAATTCCATAATTATATCCGCCATGAATTATACATGTAAATATTGCTTTTGAACTAGTCGCACCTAAACTAATTCCAGAGGAAGAGTCCAAAGATAAAGTCCATGTAGATACTGCCCTCAAAAAATGAATAATATCGAATTGCGTGTGTTGGCAAAATTGCGTAACTGGTGTTTTTATTCTTGGTTAAAGAGAAAAGGGCTTTCGGTGAAAGAAAATTAAATAATATTTGTGCCATGCAGATATTCAAGTCACATAAGGATGCACTTACTTCTCATCACTAAAATATTGAAATACTCTCTCCTTAACAATTAAAAAAAAATTCCCCAAGTTTTATGTGGCCCAGTCCTCATCCTTCCCTGAGGATCCCAGAACCTTTCCTCCATCCTGTAGCTAAAGGTCTTTAAATAGTACAGTAAGGGGCCTGCCTCCGGTCCTCTCTGTACACTAGCATCTTAAGCATCAACCTCACTGAACAGGGATTTCAGCTGAACTGTGACCAGCATGAATAAGCAAGTATGTTATCAATAAATAACACTGGGCAGGGGGAGTCAGTAGGCCCTCCCCCGAGTGCTCTCTATATGATCTTGGGTAAATATTCCAACATTTCTGCTCAAGTCCCTTATCTAGAAACTGGACATATTGACCCCCATGGAGCTGATGACACAATGAAGTTGAGTCTCCATACATAGGATGTTGGGACCAGGGCTCCCGTTCATGAGATGGATGTCTGAGCTGGTGCAGCATTGATAATGGATGAACAGTAAAGACTGAGTCAGGAACGGGCTCCTCCTTTGCAATTAGGAGCATTGATTTGCACACATAGCATATTCTTTGAATCTAAGAAAGTCTCCAAACCAATGCCAAGCCATCACTTACTCTCCCTAAGTGGAAATAGATACACTATATAAGTTAGGGCGAACCCCATTATCAAAGGTTTTGGTTTCCTTTGCACTGCCTACATGAATATAAAAAGAACCAGAGGAGAATTCTGACTCCAGATGTCTCTCTAGTGCAAAATGCTTATTATTGGAACCTTCTGCTGAAATAGTAATCCCCAGGGAAGTGGCTCTCATAGTTTCAGACAATGGCTACTGACCCCTGGGGTCTTACAGACCCTGCCTTCCAGAATAGCATAGCATTTTGGTTTAGGTGTAGTCCATGGGCCTTCTAAACCACAAAAGGGAAATAGATAAAAATAAAATAACAAAGAGAAAAATGGAAGGATGGGATTGTATCTTCTACATGTAAAGCATCAGTTGCTCCCAACAGAGTAGTCCTGTAGACAGGTTCAAGATGATCCTGCCATTCTTGTTACCTTTCCTCTAAGTTTCCAGAGGGCTAGAACGAGCTGGAGATAAATAAGGTCATCTCTGGACCCGCCAAGGAATACAAGCTTTGCAGAGGTAGAGTGAAGAGAGAGGCTTCAAGACTAACACTTGGAAGACACGAACGATAGAGAAGAGTGAACCCACACCCCAGACTGTGTAAGGAATAGAGCATGGTTGCATATTTGCTGGGGAAGGCAGCATTATGCATATGTCATGTTTTCTAAAGGATAGAGTAAATAGAATAAACACACACACACACACACACACACACACATATTGAAAGGGGATTTAGCATCTCACACTGGAAAGGCTGGGAATCTTTTTTTTTATTTTATTATTGAGAAAAGGAAAAAAAGTTTCCACCTCCTCCCAGCCTCCCATTTCCCTCCCCCTCCTCCCACCCTTCTCCCCCTCCCCCCATCCCTTTCCCCCTCCCTCTCCAGTCCAAAGAGCAGTCAGGGTTCCCTGCCCTGTGGAAAGTCCAAGGTCCTCCCCCCTCCGTTCATGTCTAGGAAGGTGAACGTCCAAACTGGCTAGGCTCCCACCAAGCCGGAACATGAAGTAGGATCAAAATGTCATTGTCCTTGGCTTCTCATCAGCCCTCATTGTTCGCCATGATCAGAGAGTCCGGTTTTATTCCATGCTTTTTCAGTCACAGTCCAGCTGGCCTTGGTGAGCTCCCAATAGATCAGCCCCACTGTCTCAGTGGGTGGGTGCACCCCTCGTGGTCCTGACATCCTTGCTCGTGTTCTCCCTCCATCTGCTCCTCATTGGGACCTTGGGAACTCAGTCCAGTGCTCCAGTGTGGGTCTCTGTCTCTATCTCCATCCATCACCAGATGAAGGTTCTATGATGATATGCAAGATATTCGTCAGTATTGCTATAGGATAGGGTCATTTCAGGTTCCCTATCCTCAGCTTCCCAAGGGACTAACTGGGGACATCGCCTTGGGCTCCTGGGAGCCACTCTAGGTTCAAGTCTCTTGCCAACCCTAAGGTGGCTCCCTTAACTAAGAGGGGAGGATTGGGGGAACTTGGGGAAACAGAATGATTGGGATAAAGGAAGGTTGGATAGGGGAGCAGGGAAGGCTGGGAATCATATAATTGTCAGTCCATGAGGCTGGAAGTCTCAACAGTGTTAGTCTGGCACGGAAGGCCTGGAGAAGGCCTGGAGAGCCGCTGGTCTTTGCTGGAAGCCTGAAGTTCTGCTCTCAGTGAAGGACAGTTACAGTGACAGCATAAAGGAGCTCCTTAGAAAGTGAGAGGGCGCACAGCCAAAAGACAGCTTCTTCCATGCCCTGTTATCTGGGAAGCCACCAGAAGATCCCTCCCAAATTTAAGCTGGGTCTTCCTGCTTCAAATAATCTGACGAAGTCAACCTCTCACAGGAGTCCCAGTGGTTTGTGTTTTTCACACAAGTTGATTGCAGATGCAAACATATTGTGCACATGGCCTATTGAGCACTGCTAAGATCTCTCTTAGCCTACGCTGTCTCTTTTACAATTCTTTGTGGATTTCATGCACGAATACAGGGCAATTTTGTCATATTCACACACCCACACCCCCTCTCAACTTCATGTCCCTTTCTTTATATTTTAAAAAATATTACATATATAATATGTAATATCACATATGATTTTGTATTGCTGATGCAAAAAATCGCACTTCTCATCTTAACAGAAATAAGAAATGGTTTATTCTGGAACTCCTTTGAATGGCCATGGCACTGGAACAAATATTTAGACTACTGAAAATTCCATGTTCCAACATGGAAACTGCATCATGAAGTTTGTATAGTTTTACAGAACCAAGGAAGTCAGAAACCAAGGCAAGGTTAAAAGACATTGGTGGGGACCCCAGAGAAACAGATATAGGAAGACGGGGGAAACTTTCCTATAGGCCCACGATGCTATCTGATGGCATTCGTAGCTTTCACATTGGTGGACTGTAGAGTTCTGCCACCTTAATAGATTCCAAAAAGTTCCTATCTATTAGTCACAAGATATTAGTTCAGACCCAGAGGTGGGCCCGGCCTGGCTGGTCCAGAGGGCTAGAGTCAGCCCAAGACAAGGTAATTAGTCTCTCGACATGTAACATTTCAATCCCCCACAGCACTGAAATTCTAATCAGTCAATCAGTCTCACAGTAACAGATTCTTACAGACTTTTCCTCCACAGTATAACCCACCGAGTCCAATTAGCTCTGTCCATACACACATGAATGTAGCACCGCTTGTCTTTTGGACCAGGGACCATCTCCCTGAATAAAGCTGACTATCTTTCCCCAAGAAGCCATTAAATGCCTGTGGCTCCACAACTAAGCCTGGGGCCTAGTGAGTCTGCCCTTCATCCATGCTTTCATGTTGGCCAGTGTGGTCTTTCACAGGTATTGTGAAGGCAGCCACAGCTTTAGAGAGTTCACAGAAACAATATCCCTGTCCTACCCAGAAGATATTTCACAGTAGTACTCCTGGTCTCCTGGCTCTTACAATAATCTCATCTCCTCTTCAGCGATGTTCCCTGAACTTTAAGGACCAAAGGAGTAATGGAGATGGCTCATCTGGGAGTGAGCACTCCACAGACTCCACAGTCAGTTATTACTACACTCTGACCAGCTGTGAGTGGGTCTCTGTGTTAGCTAACATGCACTGCAGAAAGAAGAACATTCATCGCCTATGGTTAGAAGAATAAGTATTTAGAAGGCACTTGAATAAATGTCAACTTATCAAAAAATGGTAGTAATAGATTTTCCCTTAGCCTCTCTGATCTTTCAGGCCTTGGAATTTTAGCCAGTTTACAGTTCTAGACATGAGTTCCCTCCTACGAATGGCCTTAAATTGAAGCGGACAACTGTTGGTTATTCCTGAGACAACTGTGCCATTATTGTACCACTGGACCTATCTTGCCAGACTGGATGTTACTGTAGCTCACAGTGACCCACTCTTTCTTACTGAACTTTCCCTGCTGGTTCAAGCAGCTTAATGAAAGACGGTCAGAAACTTGATCTCAGAGAAGATTATGTTGTCTGAACACTGGAAGATTGCCCTAGAAAATTAAAAGTGCTTTTTATTGGCTCTGTTATAACAAAACCCACTGGGGGAAGAATAAAGGACAACAAGCAGGTGTCATCCAGACCCTACCTATATACCCTCCTCTGGCCACATTCTTCCCATGCAGTGAGAGATTAAATCTAAAAGGCAAAAACTAGTGAACTCAATGCATTCAGAGCATTAATAGAAGCCTTTTCCTCACTTTGCACCTCTATCTGCATGCATTAAGAGTTCTTTGCTATGTTGTCTGGAAATCTGTGAATGTAGCTGTCATTTGTCTGGCTTCTGTGTTCTAAGATTTCTTGATCTGCAGTACTACAAGCAGAAAATAACTTTGCCTTTGGTGTGACTGTAGATTACAACTATTAATAGTCTAAAAGCTCAAGTTAGAAAACTCGAGAGCAGCAGAGGAAGACTGATCAAGCAAGTAGCTCTTCTCATCTTTCGGACCTATTCCCTTCAATGCCAAGATTTATCAAAGGCAGCCAGCCTTCCCTATCGGTGATCTACACAAAAGATGCTGACAGGGGCAGGGCATTGGGAGAAGTCGCAAGGAAACACTGGGTGCAAACTTTCTCTGATTCCAAAAGTAGTCTAGGAAACCCTGAACAGCAAACAAATAGGGGGTCACTAGACTCCGAACTCAGAGAATCACAGCACCCAGGGTGGGCCCCTAAATGTTGCGTTGTCAGTAGAGATGCTTCTTCAACAAGAGGCCAAGGCATGAGCCAACACTGTCAGGATGACATCCCAGTTGCTGACACCAGATGGTCGCTAATGGCAAGTGTTTCAACACAGCTTTATTGCTCCAGGTTGAGGCATTGGTGTGCCTCTGAGGGGTTTGTGTGTGTGTGTGTTTGCTTGCTTGTTTATTTTATTTACTTAAAAAAGTCACTTTGTATAATGACAGCATGACATGCATCGTAATTTTTGCCTGCACAAATGAGAAGTCCGACTTCTCATTTCTTTGGTGTAGCAACAGCATTTGGGATCTAACCAAAGTTGATTTTTGGGATTTTTAGCGGATTTTTTTTTTTTTGAGCGTTGACAGTTAACAAGATAAGCATCAATTCTTCTACATCAGTGACAAACTTTCCCATCTTCTAAGCATTTGGAAGGGCTTTCAATCCAAGTAAATACAGCCTGTTTTCACACACAGGGTGTGCTCCCCAGACCCAGGACCAAGTCTGTGAGAAGGAAAAGGTTTCATAAAACTTTTCTTTCTCTAGCGACTCTTTAGTCAGTGTAGTTTTGAATGTGATTTCTGGGTAATTATCTTCTTGTTTGAACTGTAAATCCCCTGTATTTTGTTGGGACCCCAGCCACCAGGGACAGAAGCCCAAGACAGGTGATGATGGAGACAGAAACTAAGCAGGAAGCAGAGAGACTGACTGAGACCTCCTCAAAGCACACGCACGCACGCGCGCACACACACACACACACACACACACACACACACACACACACTTACTAGTCACTGAAAGAGGTAAACAATCCCTGGTGGTACATTGGGCCCTCCATTGCCTCCTTATTCTTTCCAGAATCTTGAGTCTTTCACTCTTGGTTTTATTCTCCCACCTCCGAATGAAAGTGTGTCTGTACAGCATCATACAGCAGAGTTGGAATAAGGGTGGCAATGGGGAATGGAGGTGGGGAATTCAACTCCCAGTGGGCCTCTGTCTCTGTGTCTGTAATTGGGTTGGTTGGATCGAGGAATAGGGAGTAAGGCATATGTCTGACCTTCTGGGGGTGTTTTTCTACTTTGGCACCAGCTGTCAGAGCCTAGGGTTCCTAGGAAAGAGCAAATCCTCTGGTGTCACACAGACATCTTCCCTGCTGTCCTGGGACAGCCCCAAAGACCTGCATCACACTGTCCCTGACAGTTCACAGTTGGAAGCCTAAGATGGACAGCCACCAAGAGCTAGCAGTTTTAACGAGAAAATAACCAACAAATAAACCAAGAAGAAAGATTCGAATGTTTACTTGGCGGTTGGCTGCTAAGAACTGTTCTGTTTGTGATGGTTCCTTCTGTCCACTGTGCCTCAATTAGGGTTTCTATCACTGTAATAAAAAAAAAAACCAACTTGGGAGGAAAGGGTTTATCTCGGCTTACATATCCAGCTGGCAATCCATCATGAAGGGAAGTTGGGGCAGGAGATGATACAGAGGCCATGGAGGGGCACTGCTTACTGGCTTGTTCCCCATGGTTTGTTCAGCCTGGACCAACTGCCCAGTGATAACACAGTGGGCAGGGCCCTCTCACACCAATCACTAATAAGAAAAAGCACCATAGTCTTGTCCATAAGCCAATCTGATGGCATTTTCTCAGCTGGGGCAAATGGCTCTAGCTTGTGTCAAGTTAACACGAGAACACCAGCAGACAGTGTAATAATGCCAGCACACTGGCCTCATCTTGAGAGGGTGTTCCTCACACTCACCAGATGACTCCACAACCAGAAACAACACTGACAGACAACAGTGTCCGATCAGACAATAGACTTGTTCGCTATCACTTGTTTGTCCACTATGCCCATCTGAAACAGGCTCACTGGGTCTCCCAAGTTCGTCTTCTGATAGTCTTGCCTCAGTTTCCTGAGCACTGGATTACTGGACTGTCACATCAAGCTTCTTTTATCTCTTTTGAGAAGGAAGAGCCTTCTGGAAATCTTCTACCAGCTCCCCCCACACCCAGCTCTCATGCCATAGGTCACACAACTGCCATCAGACTCAGATACTGCCAGGAAAAAGGAGTGGCTGGGATTGGCTGAGGCCAGTCAGGACTCCACTAGATCACCTGAAGAAAAACGGAAGGCTGGCCACACAGAGGAAGCAGCTGGGAGGTGGGGTACAAACACGCCGCAGCTTCAAAAGCCAAATAATCTAGATGCCATGAAGTCCTCTGGGATGGTGGTTTTTCTCCCCAAAACATGATTACTTTGTCACAGTAATGTGCAGGGGTAGAATGGGGAGAAGAGCAGAAAACACCTCGAGCCGGAGACCCGCATGCTCTTCCAGGATGTCCTCATTCCCAAACTGTCGGCCTCTTAGGCGTTTACGGTGACATGGCGTCCTGCTTTCTATGTTTGTTTTCCTTTCTTAACAATTTCTAGCAAAGTAATATGATCTCTCTTTCCTCGACGGCTGACTGGTAAGACAGAAGAGCGAGGAGCCTGAGATTATTCTAAACTAACAGGTTCTTATCTTCTGCACCGTCCAGATGGCGTGCTGTTCTCTAGCATTTGGGGATGGAGACAGGTGCATATCTAACAGGACTCCCTGTTCTTAGGCAAGGGGACACTGGTCAGTATCTCAGATTCCAGGACTTCCATCCCTGGGCTTCTCTATCTCCTGACAAACTGTGTGGTTACTTTTCCTTCATCACAGAGGCCATAAAGAATTTCTTGTATTTGTTTCCCTAAACATTAATTCTACTTCCTAGTGCATAGCACAGTTTGAGAAGTCATTTATAGAAATGGCAAGGCAAGGGTGTCTGTTGTTGGGCAAACCCGTGTTCTCAAGGTCCTGAATAATTTCCAGTTTGCTGCATTTCCCGGGCCTTCTTGCTCCAGAGCCCGTACGCTGCTAGTAACTGACTGCAGAGGGGGGTCTTTCTGAACAAGACAGCGGAGAAAGAGGAATTAAGGTCCTCCAGCTGCAGAGATCCTCCAGGTAGAGAGCGCTGCGAAAACTCAACATCATGCTCACATACACATTCACAAGGTACCAGAAACAAAAGCGGAATCCAAACAAGAGGTGAAAAACAACAGTGGCAAAACAAACAACAGGAAGAACTGGAAACGTATGAGGCAGGGTCCCCAGAGCCAGCATGGGGCTGGCAGTGTTCAGAGCAAAAGAAACACTCACTTCGCCAGGTTTTGGGAACAGTCTTCCCGGTGAAGCTGGCTCATCTGAAAATGCCAGTCTCTGTGGAAGGGTGGCCTTGGAAACATCCCTTGTTAGCAGCGTGATGTCGAAGTCTGTCAGTTTCTGTTCGAGAGTTGGGTGACAATGTAATCTTTCCCTGAAGGAAAACAAAATGAAAGGCAGGCCCATGCATGTGTCGCCCACGACGAGAAGTCAGCTCCTAAGAATCTGCTGGGTTCTAGTCAAAGAGAAAAGCTGCAGTCCTTTCTGTACCTAGTGTGGTCTGGAGCCCCAGTGAGCAGCCTGTCTCAGGGACTCCCGTGCTGCCTGATAGGGCCTTGGTGTGGGTGGTGTCCCTTTATACCCGGCAGAGGTTAATTCAAACCAGCCTAGGCTTGCAGCCCAAGCCATCAGGAAAAGGATGGGCAGGCAGAGTGTATGCTGAAGATGAGCCCACAAGGAAAGAAAGAGGCTGAAGGACATGGCGCCAGAAGAGAAAACTCAAAGGATGTGCATATATGCACACATGTTTGTGCCTGCATGTTTATTAACTAACTTAGAGGCACAGAAACACATCTGCCACAGACTTCACGTGGAGGTCAGAGCATAGCTTTCTGAAGTCGACTTCTCTCTCTTGACCACGTGAGGATGGGACGGGGCTCGTCAGGCTTGGCAGCAGGCACCCTTGGCCACTAAGTCATCTCTTCCACCCGCTTTTGTAAATTTTGAGACTGTGCTGAGATTACACATTAATAGTTGCTGTACTTAAGCCTGGTAAATATTCCCTTTACCAGTATTTGTTCTTTAAAATTTATTCATTGCAGTTTCATTCAGCTAAATTTTTCTTTAAAAACACAATCAGTATGCAGGTCTGGGCATTCCACGCATTCAAGGTGGTACGTGAAAATGTTGATTTTTCTTTGTTTTTGAGATACTTTCAACTTTTTTTAATTTTTATTTATTTATTAAAGATTTCTGATTCTTCCCTGCCACTGCCTCCCATTTCCCTCCCCCTCCCCCAATCAAGTCCCCCTCCCTCGTTAGCCCAAAGAGCAATCAAGTTTCCCTTCCCTGTGGGAAGTCCAAGGACCACCCACCTCCATCCAGGCCTAGTAAGGTGAGCATCCAAACTACCTAGGCTCCCACAAAGCCAGTTTGTGCTGTAGGAACAAAAACCCATTGTCAACTTTTGAGACAGCCCAGTCTGACCTTAAGTTGAGATCCTCCTGCCTCTGCCTCTTGAACATTGAGAGCACAGCATACCACCATACTGAGCCTGTTAGAGGCTACTGATTCTACTGGATCCAGAAAGATCACTGCCACATGATGTCACTGGCTAGGAGCAGCCTTATAGATGCAGAACACTGCAGCTGGGACTCTTCTTGTTCAGTTTCATTCTCTGCAGTGAGAGATTCCAGGGATATTCACTGGTGTGAGTTGTGGTTCTCTGTAGGACAGAAGTGGTAGGACGAATCCGTTTTAAAGGGGTTTATTAGATTGGCTTACCAGATATGATCTTCGTAGTCCATCAATGGCTATCTTCACACGGGAACGGCTGACACATAACAACACTCTGTGGATGTCCAGTTATGGTTGTGAAGATCCTAGAGTTTGCTATACTGTTTCCTTGTTTCCTTTTGACCATGAACTCACTTGGAAATTAGAAACTCTACTTTGCATTACGTATTTATATCAGTACAGATTAAAGGTATAAATTTTATACTATTGCCATAAAAAAGGCCAAAGACCTTTTTATGGGACTCAGCACATGTATAGTAACAATTTTGATGTAGTCTAATGTGTAAATGGAATAACAAAAAATAATACATATTTTAGATAATTTTGAAGATGAGCGTAAAAGTGGAGGGAAGGATTTATCGTCTCAGATACAAGATTAGCTATAAAGTTAAATAATAATGTGGCCTTGACACTATGGTAAACAAAAGATGGAGCCAAGACATAAATACTCTCCTCTTTCTACACTCTTTCCTCCATACACACAAATTATACATACCCCTAATACAACGTATATACATATATATGCATGTTTATATATATATATGCATAAAATGTTATTTCAAGGTAAGGGGAGTAATGTATTTAGTATACAATGCTAGGACAATTAAGTGTTTAAAAAGATAATTTTTAAAAAACAAAATTAGATATTTTTTAATTAACTCCATGAAAACACACACATATAGAATTCCAAATGAACTGAAGGTTTAGTATGAAAAATTCCCAAACTAAGCTCTACATAGAAACAAAACAAAGGAGAGTACCATTGTCTATGGAAAGAATTGCTTATGTGAGTGTACAGTGGGAACACATCTATGTGTGTGCACATATGCTCATGTATATTTCTGATCACACGGGGGCCAATGACACCCTCGGGTACTGCTCATGAGCAATTCGCCCATGGTGTGTTTTAGACAGAGTCTCTTGCTAGGACCCAAGACTCACCCATTCTCTCCCGCACATTCCCAGCCCTGGAATTATAGGCACAGGTCATTATACCTCGGTGTTTCCTTGGACTTTGGGGAGCCAACTGAGGCTCTCACTCCTCCATAGCAAGCACTTTACCAACTAAGCTACCATCTCAACCCACAGAAAGGAATTTTAGAAGCAGGCTGTAAGATATTTGTGTCATAAAGAAAAACACTGGCAAATTTGTATTAAAATTTAAAATCAATGAATTTATTTAATATGGACAGAGCTTCATTATGTAACATAAGTTGGCCTCATAATCATTATCCTCCTGCCTCCAGAGTTTGGGGATTATAGATATATTTCACCTTATCCAGAAAAGATATATTTTCTTTTTATTTTAGGAAAATGGAAACCAGGCATGGTGGTACACACTTGTAATCCCAGCACTTGGGACATTCAGGCCAACCTGGGCTGTTCAGTGAGATGTTTTATCTCAAGGGGAAAAAAATGAGGAAAACAGAGGCCGGTGAGATGGCTCAGCAGGAAAAATGCTTGGTGACCTCAGTGATGTGGGATTCTCCTCTGTATGCTGTGAATACGTTTTATCACCATTGGTTAGTAAAGAAGCTGTTTCGGCTAACAGTTTAGCAGTGTAAAGCCAGGCAGGAAATGCAGAGAGAGAGAGAGAGAGAGAGAGAGAGAGAGAGAAGAGACAGAGACTCCATGTAGCTGCTGAAGGAGGCAGACATCATATAGCTGCCCAAGAAGCAAGAAGTAACAAACCATGGGCTTCATAGTAAAATACAGAATGATAGAAATGGGTTAATTTAAGATATAAGGGCTAGCAAGATATATGCCCAAGTTTTTGGCCAAAGAGTGCTGTAATTAATATAGTTCCTGTGTGATTATTCAGATCTAGGCGACTGGGAATGAACAAGCCATCTCCATCTCTCCATCTACACCTCAGTTTGATTCTGGATTCCAAATACAGGCAGAAGGAGAGAACGGACCCCATACTATTATCCTCTGCCCTCCACACACACTATGGCGTGCACACAACACCCTCCCATCCACACACTCCATGTACATGTACACACATCGCACAAAAGAGCAATAATATTTGAGGGAAATGGATAAGGCCAGGAGAAGATACTTGAAATCTTTTTTAATGGACATAAAATAATCTATAAAGAATATTTCAAATTGATACAGAAATACAAGAGGAAGCTGCAATCAATCTCTATGAAATTCTATAGAGGAAGTGGGGAAACAATCAATAAGCCCATGGGACTGGGCTCAACAGCACTAATGCCCAGGTAGGGGGATATTAAAGCAAGTTATGAGTGATATGTAGGCCAAAATATCGACAGAGGTCATGAGTTTGGAGAAATGTGGGTAAGGACTACCCTTTATGTCTTGAGTGAAATGTGTTTGAAATGTGTTTGCTTTGCTGAAGGAGATGTTGGCGGAAAATATGCAGACTAGAGAAGTCTACCGTGTAGTCATATCTGTGGGAGGAAGACACCCAACATGCACACAGAGACATAAGGATATCACAGAGGACCAAAGACAGAGAGAAAAGAGAAACACATTAGACTTGTTAGTACAGCAAAGCCCCATGTGGCATTTACAATGAACTGGACTGTCTGCATTGAAAACCAACACGCTGTCATTAGTACAACCCCAAAGAAACAATAACACAGATGTAAATGTTGATGGTGACATCACTCTTAAGAGCCAAAAGGCAGAAAAAAAGCTGTCTGTCATCAGCTGACAAACGGATTCTGGCATAGGCACGTGATGATGGAGTGTTACAACATAAACAAAGCCCCAAACTACTGTGCTCAGTGAAAGAAACCAGGCACAAAACACACGCATATGTAATTTGTGAGTATGGAATTTCCAGATACATTCGTGGGAACAGAAAATAGATTAGCAGTGCCTGAGGAGTAGAATTATGATAATAAAGAAATATGGAAGGGGATCAAGAAAAGGCACAGGATTTCCTTCTAAGGTAATTAAGAAGCAGTAGAATTCAAGGTAACAATGACTCCAATTATCTATGGATACAAAGAAAACCACCCAGTGATTTGTAAATAGATGAATTATAAATATGTGGGTGGGATCCTAAGACGTTTCTCAAGACACACATGGACTATAGTCATGTACATGTGCAGTAATGCATGGGAAATTTTGAAAATTGCATTTATATAAAGCAAATAGGGGGGAATGACAAGAGGGTTTCAATGTAATTTTGACATAATACTTATTTTACAAAGTTATATCAGGGAAAGGCTAGGCATCTCCTAATATCTGAAGGCAGAGGGAAGATGATAGTTGTGAGTTTGAGTCCATCTGGCCTACCTAAAGAGTTCCAGGCCATCCCGGATTACATAGTAAGACCCTGTCTCAAAATCCAAAAACAAGAAGGAGAGAGAGAGAGAGAGAGAGAGAGAGAGAGAGAGAGATAAGAGGACCACTCACAAAATCTGTTTACCCTTCATTCATGTAGATATCACAGTAATATCTTTTGAGTTTGGAATCTTTCATAATGAGATTTTGAAACACTGAAAATTTCTGGTAAGCCAGCTAGCTTCACTGACCCCAAAGACTCTTCCAAGATAGAATATTGTCTTTTCTTGCTCTCACCTTATAAGTAATAAATCCTTCCTCTTTTTCTCCCTTTGACCATGTTTCACAATTGGAGAGGAGGCCTCTGGAGATCAGTGCTGGTGGTACCCAGGAAGTGAGAGCTTTGCACGAATATAAATCACACACTTCCCGATGAATGCCATAGAATTCCAGCTACGGGCAACTACAAATGAGGATTTTTGTCTGCTCTGAGCAGATTTCTGTCATCCTTTCAAGAATAATATAAATCACATCATTCTCCCCATATGAGCATGGCAGGACATTTCAGCTCCAGCTTCCAATGGGCCACACCGGCTTGTTTATCCCAGGCTTGGTTATTGGGCAATAGTGGCGACAGCAGAAGAAAACGCAGGCATTTGGGGCGGGTGACAGGGAAGGCAGCAGAGAGTCTCTTCACATTTCCTTTGCAAAGTCAATAACGTGTTGGTTGTGAAAAGTGTAAATGTTTTGTAGTCCAAGTAAATCCACGTTTGAGACGCAAGAAACACATAAAAATCACGGCGCTGTCTCTTAGGAAGGAGCGCTTTTACTGCGGACCGTAAAAGCCACTCAGCTCCTCCCGTCCTTTGAAAATGACATATCAAACTGCCGTCCGCAGTTTTCTGCGGAAATCGTGAATTCCACTAAGTCCATTTTATAAATCTGCGTTTTATAATCAAGGAAAACTGATGGCAAAATGCACACCATTTCTGGGACATTTTTGTTAAAGGGAAAAATAATTGGCAGGATCGCTGAGTAGACCTTATTTAGCAATCCCAGGGGGGTTGGAAGTCATTGGTAGAAGAAGCTAACAAAATCCACCAGGCTTATTGGCTCAGTTGACCATCACACCCAAGAGGAAAGAGTTTTTTGTTGATTTTTTTTTTAATGGAGAAAAGTCATTTGTGGCTTAAATATGTGGCTGACTGCTAATAGATGAAACCAATTACCCAAGAAATTAAAATGAATAGACGGCTAGGCTTCACCGCGTGGGTTACTGTAATAGCCTGCTTGCTACTGGGGCTCCTGCACCAACGATGCCACCCCCTGAGGAAGACTCTCAAGTGCTGAGGGAAATGGATAACTCATAATTTCTTGTCCTGGAAATGACTCCTAGAGGACTCTCTAGCTCCCCGAGACGGTAGCTGATAATGAACTTTAGCTTCCCTTGTATCTGTCCCTCTCCTCGAATCAACCTGTCTGAAGTCTATTTTCTTTCTCTGGACCACTTTCAAGAGAAGTTTTCAACCATTAGCTTGGCCATAAAAATCAATCTGATGTGCTCTTCTAAGAGCCTAAAACATTTGACTGAGAATATTGAAGCTAATGTTTAAATCATACAAACATTCCCCTGGTCAAGTAATTAAAGAACAGTCTCGGGAGCCTAAGTAATTAGCTTCAGATGCACACAACTTTGACTTGCAATGTATGAAAGTATTGAATTCACTCAAGCTTTTATAATTGACATCAACTTCATATGTCAACGCAAAGACTGAACGGAAGGAGACTTTTCAAGGCTTGCAGGAAGGCTCTGGCAAATCTCTAAGTTGGGAACTTGAGGAATGGGAGCTACTAAATTTATTTTAAAAATTTAAACATAATGTCTAACTATGTAAACTTATTTAGAATTCAGGTATTATATAATGATCATTTCCCAGTTGTATTCAAATCATCAAGTCACAAGACGTGCTGTTAAAACTTGGAGGGTAGGGGACAGGGGAGGGTCTCTGACTCACAGGATGAGGGGTGGGTGGGTCTCTGGCTCTCAGATAATGGGGACAAGGAATGAGAAGGAGGGGCTGGCCTCTGACTCAGAGGCTAGGAGGCAGGTAATGGGAGAGAAAAGGGCTTTTACTCAGAGGGTGGGAGGCTAGGCAATGAAGGAACGGAGGTGGCCTTTGTGATCAGATTGGACATAGTAGTTTCTTCAGGAAATAGCACATCCTAGCATCTTTTGGCATCCGTAGTATAGATTAGTGTATAAGGGCTCTGCACCAAAGAAACGAACCCCAACTCCACATGAGTCACCGTTACTTGAACGACATATTTTAATCCAATACTTATTCCGCGGGATACACACTGGAAAATAGCACAAGTTTGTTCCATCAGCTCACCAATAAGGAAAGCCGAAAAGGTTGAACTGCTTACCCAAGATGACATAAGTCCCAAGTCGGATGGCGGAAAATCCTGGCTCCCAACAACAGTAAGTGGACTGCTAAAGTCATCCTGAAATTATACACATTTTACACAGTGAAACCAATAATCTTAGTCATGAAATGAATGTGAAATCCAATGTACCTATCCACAGCTTCCTAATGACTGTTCTGCGTAGAAGTCTATACACTGAGATGTAGAGATCTCAGGTCTGATTAATTCGGGTGCACGCTGTCTTATTTTTTTTTAAATAAAGTTTCAATTTATAAAAAGAAATCTAAGCTAAAGAAACTGAGGGATGTTTAGGCAGTGATCTTTTTGGTTTCAAAAGCACTTGGTAATTAGTGGGCACTTCAGTTAGAGGCCTAGTCCACATGTAGACACAACACGTCACCACCGTGACTGGAGCTAACGTCCCTTTCATTCCTCTCCTTATCTACACTGCGACTCCCACAGACAGTGGTTTGTGGGTTTTGTTGTTGTTGTTGTTGTTTTCTGAAGAGAAGGCTCAAACGTCATCAAGCGTGATTGGCAGACAGAAGCCTCCATCACCCGGCGGGCGGCCGCTTGGCGCTCTTTTTTTCCTTTCCTTCACTCCTCTCATTATACAATAGCTCTCGCTGTGGGACCCTCAGGAAAACCCCTGTCTGGGTCTGAGCCCCTCTGACTTCACTACGGAACCATTTTCCCCTCCCCGTCAGAAGCAGATGGAATTAACAGGCTGTGACAATTGTCTGTTGTTCTAAGTGAGCTACACCACGGTCTCTAAGCCTCATTCCCAGAAGATAGATGACAGAATGCAAGGCGAAATGAGAATTTGTAATGTCTGCACGCCTGGCTTATTAAAAGTCCCTCTGTTTAGAAACCATGCCAGTGTGACTTTTCTGTTCTGTTATGTAATATAAGAAGGCTGTTCCTCAGTGTCTCTGAAGAAACGAGAGAATTGGGACAGTGTCACAGAGGACTGGCGGGGTTCTCCCTTGAAGAAGCACAAGAGAAATCAGGCGCTCTCCTTCCTTGGAAAAGGAGTTTCTTTGGCCTAGGAGTGCCTGCTTTAGGGCAGGCACCCAGGAGCCTCTGCCTACTCCCTAGAGAACGCAGAAAGCAGAGACTTAAAATAATCAAATAATCCACCCATCCCGGAGCATATGGCGCTCACTGGTGTCACCCACACACTTGTTAGAGAAACAGGTTCTCGGGCTGCTCCCAATGTGCTGAGTCAGAATCCGTGTTTTAACAAGACCTCAGGTGACACCTGTGTACTTTCAAGTCTGAGAAGCAGTGTCTACCCAATTAAAACCTACCCAGAGGAAGGAAAGGGGTGGGGGGAGTCTCCGTGGGCAAGAGAGCCCAGAGAAACACCAGAACAAAGACAGTCTTGAAGGCTATTGTGTGGCGTGCAGGAGATGGAGGAAGGCTGCCCAGGCAGCGTGATAATGCTATCCTGTAACTTTCTAATTGTCTCCTCTTTTCAGGTGTTTTGAGGTTGGTTCGGTGCTGGGGATGGAACCCAGGGCCTTGGGCATGTCGAGCACACAGTCTATCCAGTAGGCTTCACGTTTTGTTTCCAATTGTTCTGGATTTCTGGTGTGACGCTGCCTTTCCACTCTACCATGAAGCAGCCCAGCTTTGAAACAGGCGCCAGATGATTAAGCTTGGGGAACTTAATTGAATTAATTGAAAGACTGGATGAGATCTGCTGGTTATGCAAGAGAAGAATGGGACTGGGAGCGTGTGTGTCTTCTCCTCGCTCTTCCCAGTTCACGGGGTATGGGATCTTTGGTTCTTATATGCATTAGTTTATCTAGAAAAGCTAAGAAGAGACAAATTTGGGTCCTTGACTTCTCAGGGTTTAAACAGCAGTAATAGCTCCAGTGAGGTCCTTTAGGGTTTGCAGCCCCGTGACTGATGGTAGGGGAAGGCAGGACCCGGATGGAAATCAGGATCCCAGTTTCCTCCTCTGACTTTCGAGTACTGAGCAAGCATGTGGATGCTGAAGTCTGGAAACATCGCGTAGCATCACGTACCCTTTCCGCCGCCCTGTCAGCTTCAGCTGGCTCCATCTCACACAGCCGCTCCCTCTGCCCTGGCTCCTAGGCACACAAAATGACCCAGTAACTTCAAGCATGTTTTCTTACAAATGTCACTCAGGCTAGACCTTTCAAAGTGCCTCAGGAGAGGGCATGGTTCTGAGCGGATGCCAAATGCATTTTTTGGCAGCAGCTGGAGAAATCCTGCCTTATCCACTCCAGCAGGACTCTGAGGCAGAGGATGACACTCACTCTGGGGTTTGTTTACTTAATTATAAAATAGCTTATGTTATGGCTATCCCAGTAGGTCTGATTTCAAGTTTTGAAACTAAATATAAAAGATCTCCTAACTATCTAATGTGCAGCCACGGGAATCATCATACTCCAAATCTAGTTTCCTTCTAGCGATGCTGAAGGGGTCTTCTTTGCACAGATAGACAAGTATTTGGCATACAATCACAAACCAACCTGGCAGTTCAACTCCTAGAATGTGCCCAAGAAAAAGTACACAATGCGTGGTGATTTTGATGAGAAATACCCTTAGAACACTGGGTCCCCAGATGGTGGCTCTTTTCGGGGAGGTTAGGGAAGCATCAGGAGTTTAAGACTTGCTGGAGGATATATGTCACTGGGGTCAGCCTTTGAGGGTACATAGCTTTCCCCCAGTCCTATGAACCCCCCACCCACTAGTGTTGGGGTGAGAATGTGATTAGCCAGCTTCCAGTTCCTGCCACCATGTCTGCCAGCTGCACTGGTTAGATTTTTGTCATCTGAACACAAGTTAGAGTCACCTGGGTAGAGGGACCGTCAACTGAGAAAATGCCCCCCTCAGATTGGCCTTTAGGCTTGTCTGTGGATACTTTCTTCACTGATGATTGATGTGGATCCAGCCCTCTGTGGGCGGCACCACCCCTAGGCGAGTGGTCCTAGGATGATCTAAGAAAACAGACTGAACAAGCTGCATTAGAGGCAAGAGAGCAAGAGAATGGAAAGGGGCTGGGCATATCCTTTCATAAGACACGCGTTTCCCTACTGAGCCTATAGGGTCTCAGGAGAGGCGGGAGATCTTGGTAGTGGGAGCATGTGGCAGAGAGTTCTTACCTCCTGGTGGCTAGGGAGTATAAAGGAAGAGTCCATGGGGTGTTGTATCTCCAAGGTATGCCTTCAGTAACTTCCAGTTAGGCCCTGCCTTCTTCCTTCTATGAGATCATCAAAGGTAAGACATTGACGGGATCAAAGCCCTCCCACAACAGTCGCTTTCCCCAGGACCCTGCCTCACTGGGAAGCGGGACTTCAACACATGAGCATTTTACAGGAGACCTCATATCCAAGCCACAACACACATGATCAGATAGAACTTTTCCTATGAATGTTCATTATTCATAGTAGCCCCACACTGAAAATACATGAGTAGATCCATAAAATGTGTTGTGTCTTAGCCCGCTTTGTGCTGCTCTGACAGGATATGTGAGGCTGTGGGATTTCAAATGAAAAGAAATGATTCTAAAAGTGGGACGTTAGGGACCAGAAATCAGCATCAGTGATGTTTTCTTGATGTGGGAGTGTCATATATCAATCTGTTGATTTCATTGGTTAATTAAATCAAGAAACTGCTTGCCCTGATAGGTTAAAACATAGGTGGGAGGAGTAAACAGGAGGAAGTGAGGTAAGACTTTTCAGGCAGACTCTGCTCTGCTCCCGGACAGACCCGACAGCTCTGCTCTCTGGAGCAGAGACGCCATGCTCAGCTCTGCCAGATAGACACGATAGCTCTGCGCTCTGAGGCAGACGCATGAAGCTCAAACCCAGGATGGACGGAGGCTAGAATCTTCCTGGTAAGCGCACCCTGGGGTGCTTACACACATTACTAGAAATGGGCTAGTCCAGGTGCGAGAATTAGCCTGTAAGGGCTAGAGTTCATGGGCCAAGCAGTTCTTAAATGAATACAGTTTGTGTGTTGTTATTTCGGGCATGAGCTAGCAAGCGGCCGGGGTGTTGGGGACGCAGCCCCGCCACCCCTTATTTCAACATTTTCTAGCTGCATTAGAGGCAAGAGAGCAAGAAAATGGAAAGGAGATGGGCATATCCTTTCATAAGACATGCGTTCCCCTACTGAGCCCACCTTATGATAGTGACACTGACCTGTTCATGAAGGCAGAGTCCACACTGTCTGGTTGCTTCTCATACGGCTCGATCCCCAACGCTGTTAGGTCAGGACGTCAGTTTCTAGCATATAATCTTGGAAAGACTCACTTAATTAGCAGTGTGGTCTGTCCACAGAATGGAATGTTATTGTTCATGATGAGGAGCTATGCACTGACACCAGCTATGACAAGGATGAGCCTCAGGGTTTGATAAGCTGGACACAAGAGGACAGAACATGGGGTAGTGCTTGCCCATGGTAGGGACTGGGGTGACATGGGTTAGTGGTTTTCCAGCAGTGGGGACTGGGGTTACGTGGGTTAGTAATTTCCCATGGTGGGGACCAGGTTGACATGGGTTAGAGTTTGCCAGTGGTGGGGACCGGGTTGACATGGGTTAGGGTTTGCCAGTGGTGGGGACTGTAGTGGAGTGGGGAAGGGGGATTGGAGGGAGACTGCCTATGTGCCTGAGACTTCTTCCCGGACACTGAAAATGTCCTACAGTGGACTGTGGTGATGGCTATATGATAGGGTACAATTCCACAGACATACTGAAAAGACACCCAGTGGCGTAGTTTAAAGAGGCAATTTTGTGGTATGTGAATTATATCCTAATAAATGTGCTTTTAAAAGAGGCTGGCAATGAAATGGTATAGTGTGAGTTTGAGATGGGAGTCTACTGCAGGGGGCTGCACAACTCCTGCCTACAACAAGCTGTATGGGGGGGCTGTCTTATGACCCTCACTTTCTATCACCCAGCACAGAGCATAGAGATGCTTCACAGCAACCAAATCCCAGAAGTGGTACTCTCAGGTAACACCTCCTCCGTGACTGAGGAAGGGACTTCTGACAAGGGCCTTGTTTTTTGTTGTTGTGTCTCTAGATGAGTCCCTCAGCTGCTTGGTGGTTCATTAAGTTGCTTCACTCAACTGGCAACAGCAGAAACCATCTTAGCAGAAATGTGTTCATTCTCTTCGACTCTGACTCCTGGAGAAGATGTTGCCCCCCATGTAAACTAACCCTGCCTGGTGAGCTACATCCCACCAGACTGGGGAAGAGGGCAGCTAGGAAATAGAGATCTTATGCTCTCTGGGGGTTGCAGAGAAAACTGAAAGCAGAGCCATTTGTTTATAAGTTATTAATCACCAAATCAAATGACAGCAGAGAAAGCAAAAGGGGGTTTAACAATGAGTCACCGTGTGACCACACAAGTGGCAGCTGTAAAGTTAGCCCCTCTTAGATAGGACACAAAGACAGAAGATGGAGGAGGGAGAGAGAGAGAGAGAGAGAGAGAGAGAGAGAGAGAGAGAGAGAGAGAAATTTTCTCATGCACTTGAGAGGAATTTCATGACCTTTATTAGATATGCTATTTCTTGTTAATAAAAACTACTTGGAGAGAGTGTTATTTCTAGGGAGTGCCTGGAGGTAATAGCTTAAAATATAATCTGGTTTTAAAGAGCTCCCCCAGCATTTCATTAAAACAGTCCATTTCACAGGACTTCCATTCATAAATTATTTTTTTACCACCTAACATAATTGTGAAAGAGACAAAATTGTAGCATCTATTTTATCTGCAAGGAAATCTTCATGCAGGACTGTCTTAGTTTGGATTACTATTTCCTTAATGAAACACCGTGGCCAAAAGCAGCTTGGGTAGGAAAGGGCTTGTTTGTCTTATGCTTCCAGACCACTGTTCACCGCTGAAGGAAGTCAGGACAGGAGCCCAAACTCAAAAGTCAGGGCAGGAACCTGGAAGCAGAAGCTGATGCAGAGGCCATGGAAGGGTACTGCTTGATCAATCTGCTTTCTTATAGAACCAGGACCACAAGTCCAGGGACAACACCACCCATAGTAGGCTGGACCCTCCCACATCAATTAAGAAAATTGCCCTACAAGCTTGCCTGTAGCCCAATCGTATGGAGGCGTTTTCTCAATCAGGGTTCTCTCCTCTCAGATGACTCTAGCCTGTGGCAAACTGGGGTAAAATTAGCCAGCACAAAGACATTTTAGGGGAACTCCAAAATCAAAGGCCGAGGTGATGGAAGAGACATTGACAGTGTAGTACCCCAGATCTTCCTACAGCAAGGCACTGTGTCTCCAGCAGCAGTGGGGGACAACTCTTCTAACTCTTTTTTTTAGTTGTTTTTATTGAGCTATATATTTTTCTCTGCTCCCCTCCCCTCCTCTTCCCTCCCCTTCTCCCCTCTCCCATGGTCCCCATGCTCTCAATTCACTCAGGAGGTCTTGTCTTTTTCTCCTTCCCATGTAGATTAGATCCATGCATGTCTCTCTTAGGGTCCTTTTGTTGTTTAGGTTCTCTGGGATTAACTGATATTAGTGACATGGAGCCATGTCGATGTGACAAGGGCTCACGGATACCAGACATGAGTAAAACACTACGTGGTTCCAGCTTGGCATGCTGGCCTCTGCATGCTTTATAGTAATAGAACTTCACCATTTCACCCAATATTCTTGCTCATACTTATCACTTATATACTGAGATGTAAGCGTATGAGTGTGGGGTGGTATGGGTGGATGTATGTGGGTATGGGTGTGGGTGGAAATGTTTAGCTGTGTGTATGAGTGTGGGGGTGTGGGTACAGGGGGTATGTGTGTGCATTATATATATGGGTGGCTGTGAAGGGGTACGAGTAGGTATGAATGGGTGTGGGTATGCCTTGATAGGGTGCAAACATGGATTAGTCAACTAGTAGTATTTCAGTGTTTAGAGGGATATTTTATCTGGTCATTATATGAACCTAAATTATCCCCCAACTCCGGAGAAGCACCATGGGATGACAGTGATGGATGTGTGCTGGCGAGGCTGGGCTTGAACTCCAGCCATACTGCCTGCTAGCTCTGATCTAGAGAGAGCCCATTACTCTGTGACTTATTTATTGCCTTCTTAAATGGAGATCACAGCTGCAGTTACCACTGGACTGTTATAAAGTCAAGTAAGTATCTATCTGAAAAGACCTGCAAAAGAGCAGTATTAATTCCACTACTAATGACTTACAGAAAATAAGAATTTTTTCTTTGGTCCTGAACATGAGAAGCATATACTCCACCACTAAGTTATACCCTCTGCTCCCACCTCCCCCCCCAAATCAAATATTAGCACCACAGGTAATTGTTCACTAACTTGATCGATTTGTGCATAGGATTTCCTGATATATGGCTAAGCTGTGTTTAAGCAAAGGGCAGAATTAATGGCAGAGAAACGGAGTTACAGAAGCCCCTTCTTGGGCCATGAGGACTGAGTGAAACTCCTGGATGTACCCAAAGAACTCTGCTGTCACAGAGATACTTCATATGCTATGTTTGGCAGTGAATAGACCCTAGATAGGTGTCCAGCAGCAGAGCGGAGGATAAGGAAATGTGGTATGCAGAGGCACTGGATGTTTTTTAGTCATAAAGAATAAAGTTGTGTTGTTTACGGGAAATGGGTGCAACAGGAGATAATAATGTTAAGTGAACTAAACCAGCCTCAGAACTACAAATATCATGTTTTCACTCATCTGTAGCTCTTAGACTTTAGATTTTATGTAGATGTGTAAAACTGAGCTCGTGTGTGTGTGTGACAGAGAGAGGGCGAAGGGGGGGGAGAACAAAACTGTCTGGGGGAGGGCTATGGGATTGGATGTGCTGGAATTACATCGCACGCTTCTCTAAGGTCCCCACGTAACACAGCAGCATGTCCAATGGGTGTGCATGATGCAAAACAAATGTCAAATGTTAAAAAATAAGATTTCAAAACCTTGGTAAAGAACAATGCTGAGCCCTTTCTGAACACATCCAAAGAACTGCCTTCTTGGCCATGCTCCAGACGACAGCTGACTTCTAAGGAAGGCCACTTCTAAGCTGGCCACTGAAAGACAGCAAACCTTAAAACACCAGAGCCCTGTGCAAAGACACCATCAACTAACAAAGCTCTCTAAAGTGGGATCCCAGCAACTGACTGTGTCAGGTGTACAGTCTTCATCCCAGAGAAGAATTATAACCAGGAGTAAGAAAGAGGTATAAGTCCCTGTGCCCAGAGTCCTGGCAATAGCAGGATTCTACCCGGAAAAGACAGAGCAGGACAAGAGGTAAACCGTACCTCAGATAAATCCAATCTACACATCACTCCAGGTCCAGGCTATGAGACCCAGTAAAGAGAATACAGGCAGTGACTTTCTGTGTCTGGTGCATAGTAGGAACTCCGAAGTCCTTGCTAATGAGTAGGTGGATAACAGAAGTCTTGTCAATATTCTGAATCTATGCAGGACTGTCTGACGTCTCGAGGCTCTGTTGTACAAGAGAACAATCGGTGTATTCAGGTAATAATTTACATAATGCTGTCTGAAAAATGCCTTTGAGGATTTTTGAGCATCTTCGAACAAAATCCTCTTTTCCGTGAATACTGTATCATCATCTGAACGCTGCAACCCAAGCCTAAGCTGGAGGAGGAGGAACAGAGCCCTTCGTGAGGCGCATCTGAGACACAACATGAATGTTTAAGTTTAGTTCCCCAAATTGCTTACACAGTTTGCCTACATGTTGCATGACTGCTTGGGTAAAGACGACACCCCCACCACAAAAGGAAGACAATGCTAAGCACAGCCAACAACTTCACAGTGACAGAAATGAAAATTGACAGCAGCCTCCGGAGAGCTTTGTGAACTGACACATCCAAACCGCCTGCTGGCCGGCAACAGCTGTGGGGCTGAGAGCCAAGTGTGGGGTGCTTTGCCGCCCCCACTTTAGCAAGCTGCTTCTCAAAAGTAGTGTGTGCGAAAACTGCGTGTGCCCAAGTCCTCACCTCCAAGAGCTGGGCCTGCGGTCATGGAGAATAACTTTCAAAAAAAGCTAGATACATTCTGCAGTATCATCAATTTTTGCTCCACCCTCAGATCTAGGAGCAAACATTTGGAGTTCAAAAAAGTGATAGATGTAAGAAACACACACACACACACACACACAATGGTTTCATAGACCGTTGTCAAACTAGCTGGACATTCATCAGTCCAAAGGTGAGAAACAATACTGACTTCTGCTCTCCTAGTGAAAGATTTGAGTTTGTTTGTTTTGTTTTTACTTTGTCAATTGTATAATGAATTCACATGGGAATAAACCAAGGGTTTGAGGCGAAATATGTTCCAGCTGGATTATCACTTGCTGGGGGCCACAATTACAGTGCTAATGGTTTCTATTTCTTTTGTTTGTTTGTTTGTGTTTTGAGACAGGATTTCTCTGTATTTTGACTGTCCTAGAACTTGCTCTGTAGACCAGGCTGGCTTCAAACTCACAGAGACCTGCCTGTCTCTGCCTCCTGAGTACTAGGAATAAAGGCGTGCGCCACCACCGCTTGGCGGTTTCTGTTTTCTTTTCACCTCCCCAAAATATAGAATTATTAACATGCTCCATTGTTCCAAGAAGGAAGAGCTTTGAGTTATCCAGGGCATCTTCTTCACCCATGTTGAGATTTATTAGAAATACCAAAGTGCAACCAGTGATTCACGAGTCCCCCACACTGTTGTTATATATGTCTTTTAATTTAGCTTGGTTCCAGGATAGTAGTTTAGAATTGTTCTTTTCCAGCAGAGTAACGAGGTATCCTAACGCAGGACTCTAGCGTCTCCCAGGAAATGACTAAGCAATTGACAAATGGAAAGACCTCTGGCTATATGTGTGTGTGTGAGTGTGTGTGTGTGTGTGCGTGTGTGTGAGTATTAGTTAATATAGTTACTAAATGTCTAGTCATTAGGAGGGGCAAAATGAAATCTCTGTGTTTTAACTCCCTAAGCATATCCATAGTACATAAGCAAACCCAGAGTACATAAGCATCGTGTCCAGAGCTCATGGCAAATACTAAACACCCACACGAGCAAGGCAAAGTAGACAGGTTCTGCTACGGAACAAATGACAGAAACAAAAAGTCTACCGAGTTTGTTTAGCAGTAGGCTAGAATGCTGAAGAGCATCCAATTTCTATGCCCAAGGTAAAGACAGCTAGAATTACCTCAGTTTCCCCTAAGAAAGTCCCCTCCAAAATAAGACTCCACTTTTCAGCACCTTTGTCATAACAACTTTAGTGCCTGTTCATCGGTGGCATCAGACTTGGCCTGAGCTGGTGGCAGGGACGTCCCTTTCCTATACAGTCCACAGAAAACACGCACCACGAGCTTGTAACACAATCTGAAGATGACAATTGGCCTGTTGCTCTCTCCTTCCCTTCCTACTTTATAGTTTATGGATTCTCTCTGTA